CAACTAGAGCTTTCTTTTGGTGGTATTTAATCACCGCTGGGGTTTTTATTTTTTGCTAAATTAACAAAAAAAGACCAAAAATTTTGAAAAAAAAAACACATTTTTCTTTGTTTCTGTTATAAAAGTTTACAAATAAATAATTGTTCTTCATAAATTTAGGCCGAGATGTATTCTGCTACATGTCTTTGGTGAAAATAACCCAAATTAGGATGTATTTTTTAGTTTTTAGGAAAGTTATAGAGTTCACAAACTATGGTATAGATCTGAATATTGATCAATCCTGAAGTACTGACAGCCAATCTAATTTCTTGAGGTCCAAGAATGTCAGAATAGTACAGATATCCCCAAATGACCCCTTTTTACAGAGTAGACAGTCCGACGTACTTCATAAGAGGCATGGCGAGTCTTTTGAAGTTGTATTTTTTTGTCATAATTTTTCGGAAAATTAAAAAATTAAAAAAATTATTTTCACTATTTGTTTTTTTTTTACATACTGTCACCAGTGCAGTACAGCGTCTTCATATAACTGGCATGGCGGTGAACATGGACACTGACTGGTGACAGTATGAAAAAAAAAAAAATATATATATATTTTTTTTTTTTTTTTATTATATTTAATTTTTTTATTACATTTTTTTAAAGATTTTTTTTTCATATTTTACTATGACCAAAGTAGTACAATGTTACCATAGTAACATTGTACTACTTTGGGGGAGTGATCAGTATTTTTTTTTTTTTTTTTATACAGTTTGCTTATAGCAAAGAATTACTTTGCTATAAGCAAGCATTTAGCTGAATGAAATCGATTCATTCAGCTTTTTTTTTTTTTTTTTGTGCTTAGCTGTGATTTGGTCACAGCTAATCACATGACATGTGCATGTGACCTGCTGTGACCATTCACAGCTAGGCACTAGTATACAATGGATGGCATCATGAATGAAGCCATCCATTGTATACAACTATCATGTGACCTGCTGTGATTGGTCACAGCAGGTCACATGGTACCAGCTACGGGAGCCGGTACTCGGATCTGTCATCGGCCGTGTCCGAGGTACACGGCCCGTGACAGATCCCGCTGCTGCTGCGCCGCTCTGCTGTGCCGCTCTGCTGTGCCGCAAACTGCGCATGTGCGGGAGCACGCCAAATGGCGTGCACCCGGAATTTAGGAGCGCATTTCAAGCTGCCAAACGGCCATTGGCCGGGCGGCTAATGGTTAAAAATGCAATTCTTTAATAAAAAAAAAAAAAAACCTGCGTGGGGATGTCCTAAACCTGTTAAGTGGTGCATATGTGCAATGTAATCAAGGTGCACCAGCAAATTGACAAATAAACAAAATACCATTTTGTTAAATGGCATTTTTCTGCCAGCTCTTTTTTTGTTTGTCAAAAATGGCATAGGGACCCTCCAAAAATGTATACCAGACAAAAAATTACTGGCAGAACCCTTATCTATATCAAACCGGAAGGATCTAATATGCATTTTAAGGGGGTATCTTAGATTAAAAAAAAAAAAACTCTGCCTGCTTCCCCCCAAAAACCTATACTAACTTATACTATGTACCTCAGACACGGCCGATGACATCTGTGTACCGGCCCTGTTGCCAGTACCATGTGACCAATCACAGCAGGTCACATGACAGTTGTATACAATGGATGGCTTCCTTTCATGCCATCCATTGTATACAAGTGTGTATATCTGTGAGTGGTCACAGTGATCACATGCACAGGCTGGGCCAGTCACAGCCCATCTGTGTCATGCGATTAGCCATGGCCAATCACAACTAATCACAACAAAAAGACCTCAATGAATCGATTTCAGTTAAATGCTTGCTTATAGCAAAGAAATTATTTGCTATAAGCAATCAAATTTGTGTAAAAGAAAAAAAAAAATTACTGATCACTTCCCCAAAGTAGTACAATGCTATTATGGTAACATTATACTACTTTGGTCATAGTGTAATATGGACAAAAAATTTTAAAAGAGAAAAAAAATTAATAATAAATACAATGTAAATTTTTTTTTTAAAATTAACAATTTTTCTGTTTGCACGGTCACAAGTCAGTGTCCCTGATCACCACCACACCAGTTATATGAGGACACTGGTGGCAGTATGTAAAAAAAAATTGTGAACAAAATTTTTTTAACTTCTTCATTTTCCAAAAAATTATGACAAAAAAAATTACAAATTCAAAAAACTCGCCATGCCTCTTATGAAATACGTCAGACTGTCTACTTTGCAAAAAGGGGTCATTTGGGGGATATCTGTACTGTTCTGACATTTTTGGGCCTCAAGAAATTAGATTGGCCATCAGTACTTCAGGACTGATCAATTTTCAGATATATACCATAATTTGTGAACTCTAAAACTTTCCTACAGACTAAATAATAAATACTGATTTTGGTTATTTTCACCAAAGAAATGTAGCAGAATACATCTTGGCCTAAATTTATGAAGAACAATTATTTATTTGAAAAACCTTTATAACAGAAACAAACATGTTTTTTTTCCAAAATTTCAGTCTTTTTTTTGTTAAATTAGCAAAAAATAAAACCCCAGTGGTGGTTAAATACCACCAAAAGAAAGCTCTAGTTGTGTGAACAAAATAATAACATTTTAATTTGGGTCTAGTGTTGCATGACCACGCAGTTGTCATTTAAAGTGTGAGAGCACTGAAACCTGAGTGGTTAAATACATACTATCCCTCTAAGTAAATGAGTAATGGGTGCATAGTACCCCTACTTATTCACAAAAATTATAAACATGTAAAAAGAAGCAAAAAATATCCCACTATGTACTGTAGTTCCATGATGTCCAGTAATGCAGAGCCTGGTCAATCACAATAAATGATTCCCGCTGACTTGCTCAAAGAAAAAAACATGACAGCCTGATGACACATCCACTTCCATTACTACTCCTTGCCAAATAACAGAAAATTGGCTAACAGCTGGTTTTAAAAAAAGGGTAGGAATGACATATGGCCATATTTGGTTAGTGATGTCAGTCGCCAGTTCTACCCCTTTGTTTACAGTTAGCCATCAGAAATTCTCAGTTGACAGCTGAGTGGCCAGGCGGGGATGTGTCACTGGTTGCTCACCTCCCAACAATCAGCCTATGCAGAATGCTGTCACATGCATCAGCAGTAATAATTCTCCATTACTATTTCTTATTTTCTCTATATAGTTCCTGGATTTTTTTTTTCTCTGAGCTCTCATTAGATATTTTCCTAGCCTATCTCCCCATCTATATCTCTCACTTATTTTATTAAACACTCTCCTCTTTTTAAAGTGTATGTAATAATTTAAAATTAATAAAATATTTATAAAAAAAAAAAAAGCAGTAATAATGCTACTGCTAAATGTGTTTGTCAGGAAGGTCATGCTAGTGTGCAGAATGGTGCATCCTGTCAAATATCTGTGTGCAAGCCCAGGGTGGCTCACCATCGCACATATACATGTGTGTGTGTGTGCATGCATATGTGACCGTGAGAATGCATGCGCACACCTGCCACTAATGCTGCTGCAGCGCTGACTGAGGTATCATTGGTTTCAACCAGCAATTCTGAAGCTGTTAAAAGAGCCGCTGGATTACTTTTATCCAACCACTGCCGCTGCCTTTACCAGGCTCTCTCAAGTGATCAGGGAGCTTGGTAAGAATGTTACTGGAAACATCCAGCTCTGTGCAACACAGTGAGAGTAACTGATGTTGTTCCTCCCAATGTGTGAAGTGAGAAACCAGAATCAGAGGATTTTGTCAGTTCTGGTTTCAGTTCTTTGTTTACCGGCCAACTAAGCAGCTGTTCAGATCAATCTGGGTCTGATTGGCTACATTGGAGGCCAGAGAAAACCCCATATAATAAAAAAAAAAATTAAAGTGCATCGGTCCTCCTGTGCTTGCACACAAATGTGAACACGTGCGTCTGTTCTGCACTCATATGTAAACAGCGATAGCACCATACATGCGAGATATCTAGCACGAGACCTCCTGTGTAGCCCTAAACTGGTTATCTGTAATGGACTTTAAAGGGTTGCCTATAGGATTTTTAGGTACTGTAGTTTGGCGCCGTTCCAAGAGCAGATACAATTTTAAAGCGTGACATGTTCTGTATCTTTTTACTCAGTGTAACATTATCTTTTATATTTTACCAAAAAAGTGGGTATTATCTTGTGTTTTTGTGCATTAAAATTAATTAAAGTGCATTTTTTCCAAAAGAGAATTCTGTTTGGAAAACCGCTGAGGAAATACTGTGTGACATAAAAATGTGCAACACCCACCATTTCTTTCATTATGGCCCCTGATTAAAAAAAATATATATAGTGATTGGGGGTTTTAAGTAGTTTTATAGCGAAAAAATGATGTTTTATACATGTAGGAGAGGAATCTCAGATTTGGCCCAGACTGGAAGTGGTTAAACTGATCAGCTGCACATAGCCATAGGTATCTTGGCTACAGAATTCCTTTGAGATCTGTGACTTTATACCTGATTACCCTTTACTGACATGGCTTACATTAACCTGCTCCTGATATCCAACTGCACCAACCCCGGTTTGCATTTAGACTATATTTCCTGCTCCTTTTGTTCCTGTCCCCCTCATCTGTTACTGACTTCGGTATGTACCCTGACTGCACTCGTCTATGCTATTGTACTTAATCTGATCACAAGTTGCTAATCCGGCTTGCCTGACTTTACATCAGTCCTAAGTATTTGTGCCACTGTCCTCTATAGCTTGCAATCTCTTAGATGACAATCCTGTTTATACACCTGCTCCGGGTCTCAGGCTACTTGGCATCACCACCTGTCCTGTGATTGTCACCAATTGCTGCATAGTTCTAGCCTGGTATCCCTGTGTCCAGTCCATTGTCCATTATCTCCTGCAGGGGAAACTACTCCAAGCCCTTCTGCCACCCAGGGGCGGACTGACCATTTGGAAACTCGGGCACTGCTCAAGGGCCCGGGGTCAGTAGGGGGCACCATGAGATGCCCTTGGTACCTTTTTCATAGGCTTTTTTGAGTTTGGGCAAGGACACAGGGGCCCCATGATCCCCTATTGACCGGGGGCCCCATGAGTTGTCAGTCCGCCCCTGCTGCCACCTATTAATTTTACCCGGGGTCCTGAATCAGAGGTGTAAGAGAGGCCATCCCCACTCTTAACTCTCCTCCACCAAGCGAGTGACAGTGATATTTTCCACTGCATCCCGAGCTTGCATGTAGTTTTACCGTTAGCTGAACACCAAACAGGCAAAGTCTGAAGTAGAATTTGGGCTGAATCTCATCCCTATCATTAAACAAACCAATAAGTTATGTTACACCAAGCACTCTCCAATTGTCTAGGAATATATCGGGAATCAGGACAGAAAAAGGCTGATAAGGAATTCTATTATATGTTTCAAAAAGACATGTATCCTGTATTCTTTTAAAAGGATTGCCACATCTAAAGTGAGGAAAAAGGAGACTGACAAAACAGAAGGGACATCAAATGCTGAAAATAAAATGCTCAATGTAAACCCATTTTTTAACAGTTTGGGTTCTATTTCCACTGACCAAACCTGTAGGATTATCATGCTCCCCACATGTACACAGATGGCATCAATGAGGGTCAGACTGTCCATGGGAGATGTCCAGCCTTGGCACAGAGTTGGGGATTGGAATGTTGGCACCCTTTAGTTGATTTTAAAGATATGGCTGAATTTCTGTTTTAATATGATACTCAATATACAACATACCCTGTTTTGTACACCCATGAGGAAGGAGGTTTTCTCTGAAACATGTAGGGAGATTCTGAGTTAACATGCAACACAGACAAGCTACTATGATGGAAGACAATTACTGTTAACCAGGGATATTGGGTATCCATTTGTGTGCAGTGCATTGTACTGTATACAATATGTATAAAAAACAGCCATGCTATTTTTTAAAAATAATTTATTGGATTGTGATACAATAAAGATTAATATGTCTTTTAAATACATTTGTGATATAATGCCTAAAAATTACCAAATAAGGAAATTAATATGGTTTTGCTAAATTCTCAGTAAAAAATCTTCCCACTACACTGAAAATTGTTTCTAAACATGTTTAATAAAGGTTTTATAGTATTAGTTGCTAAATCAGTCTTCTCCAGGGGATTCCCCCAAGGGAACTATGTTAATTAGAAGTTAGAATTTCAGCTGCTGACTAGGGATATTCTGAGTGTCCAGAGTTTTAGGGTGTTCAGCATGGATGAATGTGATAGCTTCTTGCTTTCAATGGCTGCTAAGGAAGAATGTTCCTACAACCGCTGGGATCACCTAGGCCAGTTACTTACATGACTGGAAACTCCTGGCCACCTAAACAAAGGGGTAGTAACTGGGGTTGACATCATTGCCTAAATATGGCCAGATTTGGGCAATAACATTGACCAATATGTCCATTGCCAATTTTGGGAAAATACATCCCACTATCCCTGTCCCTTACTTATCACCGATGACAGCTTGGGTGGCTGTCATTCCGCGAGTGTGACAATTTTGTCACATTTTTTCTATTCTGCATCTAGGTGTTTATTTCCGCTTTACATTTCTTGTGAATGAATAATGGGAAAACAGTATCTGGGTGCCCCCCCCTTATTGCTAAATGGAGATTCATATTGTGAAAACCCCCCTGCCTACAGACCCCAAAAGCACCAGGCCATGGTTGTGGGAAAAAAGCGCCTTGTCCTCATCAACATAGGGACAAGGTGCTTTACCAGGAGTGAGTTCCTTTTTTATGTGGGTTCTCTGTTAACACCTACATCAGACCCTTATCTGATACCCTAAGGGTCTGGTAGAAATGAATAGAATCCCTGACCATGTAAACAAAGAAGTCAGGGATAGTTAAAAAATGGTGGGGAGTTCCCTATAGTTCATACTAGACCCTTTAGGTCTTGTAAGAATTTGAATGGGTCCCCATAAAAAACAAAATTCTTCAGCTCACATTTGCTCAACATCTTACCTGGCATATTCCCATGTTGATGATGATAAGCATTACCCCCCCCCCCCCCCCATAACCCTGGTCCTGTGGTTGCATGGGTCTGTGTGCAGACACTGTGTGTGTGTATATATATATATATATATATATATATATATATACACACACACACACACACACATATACATACATACATACATACATACATACATACATACACTGTATATCTTAATTTGAACAAATTCAGTTGTCTCCGAATTCCTGAATTACAATAGTAATGAATCCAAAATAACAAAACAAAATCCAGATACAATCTGAATCAAATTCAAATATGAAAAGATTAGATTAGAGCATAAAAAAATAGAATAGATTAGAATAGAAAAGACAGGAATCAAATAGACAATAAAAAAATAGACTAGAATAGAAAAGAATAGAATAACATTGAATGTAACTGTTTTCCAAAATTTGAATTTTGAATAGAATATATTTGAATAGAAAAGGATAGAATAGAAGAGAAAAACAATATGAAAAGAATAGAAGAAAAAAAAAGAATTTGAAAAGAATAGAAGAGAATAGAACAATAGAATAGAATGAATATAACGGTTTTCCAAAATTCAAATTTTGAATAGAATACATTTGAATTCCATTAGAATAGAAAAGAATAGAATAGCAGAGAATAGAATACAATAAAATAAATATAACTGTCTTCCAAAATTTGCATTTCGAAGACAATAAATTTAAATTCAAATAGAATAGATTAGAATAGACAATAAAAGAAAAGAACAAAATAGAATAGCAAATACTAAAAAAACAATAGAATACAATATAAAAGAAGAGAAGAGAAATAATACAACTGTCTTCTGAAATTTCATTTTCAAATAGAATAAATTCGAATTTGATTAGAATATATTAGAATAGAAAAAAATAGAATAAAATATAAATAATGTAACAGTCTTCCAAAATTTGAATTTCAAATAGAATAAAATTAAATTTCAATACAATTGATTAGAAAAAAAACTGAATAGAAAACAATAGAACAATAAAGTAGAATAAAAAAGAAATAATATAACTGTGTTCCAAAATGTGAATTTCTAAAAGAATAAATTTGCATAGAATAGATTAGAATATAGAATAAATAATAGAATAGAAAAGAATATGATAGAAAAAAAAACAAAAATAGAATAGAATATAAAGGAACAGAGCAGAAAATAATTGAATAGAATAGAAAAAACAGTAAAATAGAATAAAATAAAAAGAATATTAACTGTTTTCCGAAATTCGAATTTCAAAATGAATTAATTAAAATTTGAATAGAATAGATTAGAAAAGAATAGAATAGAAAAAAACAATAGAATAGAATAAAAAAGATTATAGTAGTCTTCCAAAATCTGAATTTCAAGTAAAATAAATTTGAATAGATTAGAAAAATATAAAATAGAATATAAAACTGTCTTCTGAAATTTGAATTTCCCAAACAAAAATCAAATTCGAACAGAATAGATAAGAATAGCATAGGCTAGTAAAAACAATATAATAGAATGAAATAGAACAAATATACCAGTCTTCCGAAATTTGAATAGAATACATTTGAATACAATAGATTAGACTAGAAAAGAAATGAACAGCATAGAATAGAATAAAATAGAAAATAGAATAGAAAGAAAATAATAGAATATAACGGTATTTCAAAATTCAAATTTCAAATAGAATAAATTTGAATTCAAATACAATAGAATAGAAAAGAAAAAACCAGTAGAATAGAATAAAACAGAATATAACTGTCTTCTGAAATTTGAATTTCAAATAGAACAAATTTGAATATTATACATTAGCATAGAATAGATAGGAATAGAATAGAGTTAACAAAAAACAATAGTCTTCCGAAATTCAAATTTTGATTAGAATTCTAATTTTAATAGATAAGAAAAGAATAAAAAATAGGACAAAGAATAGCATAGACTAGAAAAAAAACAATACATTAGAATAGAATAAAATAGAATATAACCATCTTTCAAAATTAGAATTTTGAATAGAATAAATTTGAATGCCAATGAATGAATTTGAATAGAATTGAATTTGAAAATGAAACATTCCAAAAATGAATTACGTGAATTAAACAATTTTAACCAAATTAAATTATTTAACCCTTTAACTGCCAGGTCCGTACAGTGTACGAACCTACAGAACTGCTTCCAGCAGCCCAGGTCCCTGTGCCATATGTACAGACCTCCATTCCTCTTATGCTATAAGCTCATGGTCACTTCAGTGACCATGAGCTTATGCTAAAACTGTTCGGCAGACGTTGCCTCTCCTGCCGGCTTGTTCCAGGTGCTGCAGGAGCTTGGAAGTGTTCCCCCACCATGCTGCCCACCCATCAATGGCCCCCAACTTACCGATCCTGGCTGGCTGCTTGGTGACGTTCCCTCCTCTCCCTCTCTCTGTCTGCAGCTGCTGCTCCGGCACTCAGGGATGCTGCCAGGATGTAGAGCTGGGCTTGGTAAACATGTGCTTACCAGCCCCCTCCCTTTTCTTTAGTGGATACAGTCAACTATCACTGCTGATCACTCCTGTATCCATTGATAACTGAGCATTGTAAGCTTGTGCTTACTATGGGTCAGTTTATGAATGAAAAGGAGTCTCTATACAGACTCCTAATTCATTCGTGTAATGTGCAGCTTAGGCTGCAGAGAAAGGTCAATTTAAAATTTACAAATATGTGTTATTCAATACAGTTTTAACTTTTATATTTAGTAGGAATTTAGCAGGAATTGTATACATTTTGTCATGTATGTATCCACTAATAATGATTTTAGTGTATTTTTAGCAAAAATTTTGTTTTGATAAACATTCACACAAATATCACAGGGCCTAAAAAATCAATACCACATTACTTTTATTCTACTGGTCGTATACTTTCAGAAAATATATGGTTTGGGGGGGTCTTTCACAAACTCTTAAAGCTGTAAGTGAGAAATGAAAACCTCCAGATTTTTGGAGAAATTTGGATATTTACATTTTTGCATATGCTTGATGTTTACCATTTTGCAAAAAGGTGCAATTTAAAGTGTACAAATATCTGTCATTTATTAACTTAATACAGGTTAAACTTTTATATTTAGCAG